CTTTCTTGCATTATCTGAACATCTAAATCGTCATGGTCAATCAGCCTCCGGCATTTGTTCTGATACGTACTGCAGCGGGGTGCTGTGTCTTCTGGCAGGTTGGCATGATCCCTCTGCTTGGCAGGGTGAGGGCCATCAGTGGGGTGTGGCCAAAGGCACTGCGGATGAGAGCTGGGAGGAGTGATGAGGTTCTCCGTTTCTCCCAACACGCAGGTGACTGGGGGCCTCCACAGCCATGCCGCGGCCAGTTCGGGAAAGGCCCCTGCTCTCCCGCTGTGACAGGCCCGAACGAAAATTAATAGCACTCCTCCAAAACTGGCGGAGTGCAGGGTTTGAAATCTGGCAGCATTCTGTCCAGCAAGTGCCACGACAGGACACGGACACGGTGATGAGAGTTGGCCTCAAGAAAGCTGGGACTATGGCAACAGCGCTGCTAGTGGTGCTGTTTACCAGCAGGGTCCTCATCAGGCCCGAATCCTGTCAGCTCCTGTATAGGGGCATGTAGGTCTCCTTCGAATACTCCCGTAGCCAGTCCCAATCACCCTAGTAACTAGTCCTGAGTCCAACGTGCATCCAACTCAACGGTGTGCCGAGTGCTTGCAGAAACTCACCTGGTCGGAGGCTGCAGACTATGCCGGAGCGATTCACACAGGCAGATCGGGGTGCTGGGGCTCGTGATGCACGATTTTTGCACAGATCCGCAGTTAAGTCGACCATCACTCCGAGCAGCCAACCTTTGCTAGTTTCGGGTGGTGGCACCAGGCCGCCACGAGCATGGCAGCGCCGGGAACGGCTTTGATGTGCGCAGCCAGGGCCGCTTGGCACAGCACACTATCCACAGCCTCCGTCCACGTTCGTTGCTTTCTGGATTAGGGCTTGTCCTTGTATATCCTTGTAATACTGAAGCGTCCCTTGCTTCATCTTATTTCCGAAACTCACGTTTGGGTGTGTCTCTTTTCCCCGTCCATCCGGGCCCCAGACAACACGAAGCCGCGAGAGCGAAGGGGGGGGCCAAAACGAGAGATTGGAAATCGGGGAGCAAGGATCGCGGGGAACGGAGTGGAATCGGAGTCCCAAGGGTGGTTTAGGGGACTTTGCAGTAGACGGTTGTTGCACCGGGCTGACCAGTCGATTGAAGCTCTGCAAAGAAGAAGACTGCCGGCGATTGCTGGTCGTCCAGCAGACGCCAAGACCCCACAAAACCCGCAGCAGATCTCAGTGGTGGCCATTGTGTTCAAGGTATTGCAACATGCAGCGAGAGTTTTTGAGCGAGACTTATCTTACTGAGAGTCAGGCAAGGGTGGGGCGATGGACGCCTGGAGCCACGCGGCAGCGAGCCAGGACGACCGGATGCCGAAGAGTGAAGTCCTTGCCAGTCCGTGGCTCTCCTAGCAAGTACAGGAACAGTGGCACGGATACGGCAACGACCAACAAGGAGGCACGACCAGGATTGAATTTGCCTGCTTCATGATCCCACGCCTTGAACGCGGCACATAGGCGAAAGTGAGAAAAGAGCAGGCGTGTCATCACGCTCATGCACGCCGCAGGGCTTACATCCACGCATGCTTCATGACGAAACATGTACTTTAGAAAGAGCCCGACCGGACGTCACTGCAGTCGCTGAAGATGAGTTGTCCCTGCATGCGAAACAGGCTGGGGCCACTGGTCTCCACAGGCCGAGTGGGACGAAAGGCGCCATTGCAATGCCTTTGCCAACAGGCTTAGATGATCCGACTCTGTTTCAAGCGGGCTCTGCCACTGCAGATGGGGCGGGTGCGACGGTTCGAATGGCTCAGGCGCTCAAAGAGTCTCTGCAAGATGATAGAGACTGAGTAGACGTGCATTTGCACAAGGCCAGAAGGGGGCTACGCCGATGCATCATGCAGCTCAGCAGCAATGACTCGCCTCACTGCACTCTCGGCGGTTGACTGAAGATCTGTGATGAAAGCTCTGCGATGTTCCTTGGACTTGTAGAGGACATTGCAAGCCGGGGTGAGTACTAAAGCCTCAAGATCCAATTATTTGGGCAGTACCGGGACCCTGAAGAAACGACAAAGGCCTCCGCCTACGGCGGCGATGCCGGCGACTACGGCTGGGGCCCCGGGGCCGGAGACGGTCTACGACTTACTATTGTAATTATTCTGTACTCTATACTACAGTTCGCACGATACTTCATACCATACGAGACAGTATGCCACACTACTATACTTTACCAGGTTGCATGGATCAGCCGCCGTTTACGCAGACAGACGATCGGAAGGTGCAGGGGTAGTAGACGGCCCCCAAGATCATCGGAGCTAGTGACTGTGCTAGCTACTGCTAGCTGGTGCAAGATGGCAGGAGCATCCATAGCAACCTGCACCTGCTAAGAACCTACTCAATAAGAGCCGATGTGAGGCATCTGGTCGATGTCTGTGAATATGAAACAGTAGCATGGCCGTGCTTGTAATGCCATGATGCCAACTGAGGCCATCATCCCGAATGGGGCAGCCACATGTGACAAGCGCTGGAGAAAAACAGCCGTGCCTGCCGAATATCCGTGAGGGGGTAGTGCTGTGTTATTCGCTTTGTGGGTCGTCGTCGTCGTCTTCATAGAGTTGTCGTCGAGTGGCATATGACCAGGTCTGGTGTGAGGCGTAGGGATGCTGCGATCTCGCTCGTGCATAGAGGAGAGCGTCACGAAATGACTGGTTCATGGCAATCCGTAGAAATGAAGGCTGTCGTGTGCACACGGGCTTGTCGCCGACAGATTGTGAAACCCAAGACAAATTAAAGTTGTTATGCAGGTGACTGAGTGATTGATGCTTGACGTCACTACCACAGTGTGTGGCCATTACAAACATGTTAGTATGACAATGCACACTAACAATCACTAACATCTGGCGTGTCAAGCTTGTTTTATACTCATGCCTGCTCCCGGTGAGTCGTTGCTATCGGTTTTCGACGCTGGCAGAACTAGAAAATGCATTGCTGCTTATTTGCAGCTGCCACCTTTTCCGCTGTTGGTGCTTGTTGTTTTGTATGTCCTCACCAGATTCCTCGACACTGTCTCGTGGTTCGTCGTGGCGTGCAATGGAGTGGTTGCCGAGATGTGGGTGGTCATTGGTGATGGGGAGAGTGTCGGATGAAAAGCGTGATTATCCATTGTCTGTAGCGGTAGAGAATCACTCTTGAAAGGTGTTTGTCCTATGAACTGGCATGAGAGCCGCATGAAAGATGCTGGCATTGATCGGATTGAGCTACACGGATGGTGTTGGTGTGGAGTACTGGCACGTGGTTAATGTGGGCAGGTTAGTGAGCTGCGGATATCGTGACTGATTGTATTGCCACTTGGTGCAGTGTCGTCTAGTTGGTGCCGCGGGGTGCCGCGGTTATGCAGTACTAGCGGCCAGTGTTGCCGCATGTTCGGGATATCAGACTTGTTATACCAGTTGTGGCGAAAATGTGTCCAAATATTCAGACTTTTGCATGGGTTCGTTGGATGGTGATGGATGAGGCAGATATGTGGTGTGGTGGATGTGGACTCTGCGCGAGTCTGCAGGAGCGTCAGTCAGTGAAGCTCTGAAGCACGACTCGGGGGAACGGAAGATGCGTGCTGGTCCGGAGGATAATGTATGGCGCGTCCTCAGAGGAGTGGTGGCTCGGTTCGTCGAGTTCAGTTTCTGTCCTGCTGCTTCGATGCTTCTTACGGCCTTGACCCTCGTTGCCACTGAACTCCAAGATGCTTTGTCCATCGTCCATCGTCGTCGTACACAAGACTTTGTCATGTACATCATCCAACTGATCCATATCAACTAAATTCTAGGGACTGCGCCAAGAGGCGGGCAGCGCAGGTAGCAGCCCGTCTAAACCGATTTTCTGCGCTAACCTCAAACCGCAACAAGCATTTGACAAGGACGTGGGGATCCTCCTCCCACTCGCTCCGCCGTGCCCACAGGGCCCGCGCTGATGCTGATGATGCGCGCCCCTGCGCCTTGTAAGCAGCTGCAGGCGATCCGGGGGGTCATGATGCTTGCCGCATGCCCTCCTGAATCGTTTACGGGTGCCCCAAAACCCACCATAAAAGGGGACCGGCCGAAAAACGCAAACGCTGGCGGTGAGCCTCCAAACACGGAGCGGCGCTGCCCGACTGGAGTACATGTTACCGTGGCCTCGACTGCTCCGAGGGCTCCACGCCCGACTCCGCTGGACGTGGCATTTCACGACATGTGAAATGGTTCGTGGCACACGGCCAACAGAGTGCCGACGCCTCCGACCCCAGGGCCCGGCAGCGACGCTTGCAGCGCCGGCGGTGCCATTTGCTTTCCCCGCATGCTGCGGGTTCCGCAGCAGCGACGGCGGCCCCAGCGCAGAACATGACCGCCTTCCTCAGGACGTGGACGACCAGCATGGCTACAGGATGCACCACGAACTCGTAAAGGTATGCATGTGCGAGCTCAGTCGTGACGGCCATGCAGGTCCTCACTGCGGTGGACCGAAGTAGGAGGTTGCGCCTGCAGCAGCTCCGCTAGGATCATATCCTGGAGCCGGAAGTCTCCGGCGTGGATCAGCTGGGCCCCGACAACAGCTCCGGCTTCCTAAGCGCACCGCAAAGCTTTGCGAAATTTCGCACAAACTGCGTGTCTTTGGTGGGCGGGCTGCGTTGGTTGCTTGTCGATCGTGTCTGGAGCTGTCACAACAAGCGAGCAAACTCGCCACCGGCCGCCCGCATGAGACATCATCTCACGTGCGGCCTTCGTTCGCAAACTTCGTGGGGTGGCCCGGGAGATGCTGCCATTCGCCAGGCTGGGCCAGTGCTGCGCAGACATGTAATCGCGCAGGCAGCGTGGGAAGCCCCGGCACGGAGTTGGGAACCCGGGATAACCCAGGTGTGGCGAGTAGATGCGGTGGCTGCTGGACGCCAAAGGCGCATTTTGCACCTGCGCATGCGCAGCCGGCGAACCGGATTCGATTGAAAGTGCCAGCGTTTTCGTTATTCCAGCCGCGCGACCTTCAAATTCAAGCCGCCTTGTAACCACACATTTTCTGTATGTTTGAGTACATTGCTGATATTGCTGTTGAACCACTTGTGCCTGCCACTGCCACGCCCGGTGTGCGAGCCCAACCGCTGCGGGGACAGCCGTGTGTCGCTGCACGATTTTGGCCGCACTGGACAAAAGACCAGTCCGGGGTAAGACGAGGGCAACATACAGGGAACTACCGAAGTCGTAACGCATGTCAGCAGATCAGGGCAGACCCTCGTGGAGGCGAAAACGCTAGGTCGTAACATTCCGCGGTGTAGTTGGTGATACGGGTTCCTTGCCAAAGTCCCTTTAGTATCAAACTTTAGTACTGGAAATGCCTCGTTTGGCGTCCTGGCTGGATTGTGCTTGGTAGTAGTACAACTTTAGTACTGGAAATGCATCGTTTGGCGTCCGGGCTGGATTGAGCTTGGTTGTAGTACAACTTTAGTACTGGAAATGCCTCGTTTGGCGTCCGGGCTGGATTGTGCTTGGTTGTAGTACAACTTTAGTACTGGAAATGCCTCGTTTGGCGTCCGGGCTGGATTGTGCTTGGTTGTAGTACAACTTTAATACTGGAAATGCATCGTTTGGCGTCCGGGCTGGATTGTGCTTGGTTGTAGTACAACTTTAGTACTGGAAATGCCTCGTTTGGCGTCCTGGCTGGACTGTGCTTGGTTGCAGTACAACTTTAGCACTGGAAGTTCCTCTTGCGGCTTCTAAGCCCACAGTTCGGTAGAAAGTTTCAGACGCGGTGTGTGGAAACCCTGTTTTGTGGCAGGCGCGGTTACTTGGGTGAAACTGCAAATGTTATGACTTCTTATCAGCGCTGAACATGCGAAGCGACGTTGCAGACTACTCAAATATCCCGCGGTTACATGGTGGAAAGCGATTTGTTATGACTTCCGAAAATGAGTCCTAGCGCGCGGTTTGTTCGGGGAAGGCTCGCCCACCGGTGTTTACCTGTAGCCTCAACACGTAGCATCCCTGCGGCGGCCGCAGATGCCAGCTTGCAAGAATAGTTCAGCAGCCACCCAGGATGGCGGAGCACGTGGGAGAGCACCATACGATGGAACAGGCCCAAGGCAAGTACAGGGTCCATACCTCAACTCACCGGGTTCGGTGGTCCCATTTGCGTTCATTTTCCCGGCTCGTGCCCTCGGGCGAGAGCGTCCATCACGACTGCCGATTTCGCGGGCGGATCACCCCGCATCGTGGTCAAATTATGCTGCCCGTTGTCGTGCCTTGGCAGATGCACCGAGAAAGTGCTCAACGCACTATATAGCCCGCAGACGCTGCACAAACCCAGCAGCACTTTGCCCAGCGACGCTGGCCTCGACTCCCTGTTGGACCGCATGCTCACAGCACTCTCACAGCAGTTCGGCGGCGGCGGACCCGAAATCCAGGTCGTCGGTTTGCGTCGCATGCAGAGCAATTCCAATCGGAGAGGCGTTGTGCTGCAACGTAACACGCTTGCATCTTCTAGAACGAACGTTGTTGCCTCGCCATGCCTCGCTCGACCACGCGCACCGTGGCAGTCTTTCGACTGTGCACTCCTGGCCCGGCGGCCGCTGGAGAAGAGAAGCTGCGACGCACGTCAATTTTTTGCACGTGTGCATCGCCTGCTTCCAGCGGAACTTGCATGTTTGCCTTTGTCTCTTGTGGCTTGCGTTCTGTCGCGACAGCCCACACCTTTGCCGCCAGCCTCTTTTGTTTTTGCCGTGCAATGTCGCTGGCGATCCCCCGCTGCTGAGCGTAACGCCCCTATAAACAGTGGCCGTGCCGGTGAAGGCCAAGGACCGCAGGACAGCAGGCTGGCTGCGAACGAGCGCGCGGCGGCGAAGGCTGGGCGAAGGAGTGCTCGCGGCAATGCGTGAGGGTGGCGGTGCAGACATCGCAGTCGCAGAGCGCGGGGTATGTGCGCCGTGCGCGTTCTGGCTCGGCAGTACGAAGCCCCACGCCGGCAGCAATAACTGGGGAGACAAGCGTGGTGTCGACTGCAAGTTGGGCGCCGTGTCCCTGAACCTCGCTGGGATGGCCAATGTACACGGTTCTTATGTGCATGCATCCGCACGCGTTTTTTGTGCCTGCCAAGGAATGTCCCCGTCGGCACGCAGACGGTCTACGGGCCACAGCCCGGGCTAGTCCCAGCGCGCTTCAGCGAGCCGTTGCAGAGAGCGTTTGCACACGACGGCCAGGAGCCCGACCAGCGCGCGAGCCGTTTAATCGACATCCGAAGCAGCGCGGTTCCTGTGCACAAGCCGTTGCAAAGCCACTGGGCACCCTCGCGTGTCTTGCATGTCCTGCTGATATTGCTGATCCGCCGCTTCCAGTTTCGTCTGTAAGCTAGAACGCCTGGCAGCCCAAAACCCAGACATCACGACTCAACGAGCAGTTCTTCAAGTCATCCGGGACACGCTTCTGTCCTTGTCTCGTTTGCCGGCGCCGGAAGAAAATCCACTTGATGTCCTTGTCGCCTGCCCTGAATGTCCTGGTCTCG